CCCCGCCGGCATCAGTCCCCCTGTGCGAGCGTTAGTCCTTCTGTGCTGGCGTCAGTCCCTCTGTGTTTTATTAGAAAACAACACGTATGAATATAAATTAAGAGAATATTTTTCTTCATAGAATCAAAAATTAAAAGTGTGTGTGTCTACTTGCAATATTAATGTTGCAATATCTTCCATTTTAAGAACGGCAGTTTAATTTGAGCGTAATTGGATACCTCTCTCAAAAATTCAAAAAATTAGTCGAATAAAATTTCCTTTTAAACACTTATTTTCAAAGATAAGGTCATTTCAGAACTTTTATGACATATGTATATGAATAACAAATATCTGTATTTTGTTTTGGTATATCATTGATTCACTGAAAAATATAATATATAAACAAATACATACCTGGAATATTATGAATAGTAACAGCCACTATAAGCAACACTATTCTCTTCCATTGCGCCTTGTTGTAATATTCAGAAACTGATTCTTCATCATTATTCTCAATCCACTCTTGGTTATCTTCAGGCTGAGTTTGTCCAGTAAGTTTCCTCCTGGATATGCCAGATTGATGGGCAATTACATCACTAAGACCTGTTAAAAGAAAATATCACTTTCTAAACATTTTAATAGATATTATAAAATATAAGTGAACATTTCTCTAGTGTAAATTGCGTAAAAGCCAAGTAGATTTTATAATACATTTTTTAATTACTTTCATACAGAAGACACAGTGATGAAATATCTACATTACTAATTTCCAATGCATACAGAAACAGAACGAAAACAATGCAGCCTCCAGCATTGTGAGGGTGTGTGTATAGTTTCATTAAACACACAGGAAATCAGGAAAAATCCAAATGCAATGAAACAGTTTTGATTTTGACTGAAAAATGCAAATATTAAATTGCGATATTTTGCCTATTCTTATACCGCACGTACCAACTGAATTCTCACATTCAGTGCGCCACTAGTTATGACATAGCTCGCATTTAGCATCAGCAAGGCTGGAAGAGGGCATCTGCTATTAAATATTTGCTATTCACATGTTGTGTTCTGGAAAAGCAATTTTTTATATTCTTGATATGTAAGGAACTGTTCTGCTGTATATGTGTGTATAACACATGTTATTGCACAAATTGCAAAGACTGCTTTCATTAAAATATTTAATTAATTGCAATGTAAAACAAGACTGTTTTATTTGTTGTTCTCAAGCAGTGTATGTGCTACATTTTGAAACACATATCATGTGGCTTTGTTCAACAACAATTTTTGCTGCTGCAGGCCACTAATTGGATACTACAATAAAAATATTTCTACTACTTAACGTTCCTGAATATACACTCTTCTTCATTAAATCAATTCTCAAAATCATCACTCATCAAAGATATGCTGTTTTTAGAAATAATAATAATAATAATAATAATAATAATAATAATAATAATAATAATAATAATAATAATACCAATAATAATAATTATCATCATCATCATTCAATTATAGAATATTACTGCAATTTCTCAGTCACTACCACAAAGAATTCTGTTAAGGGCTTATAAACAATAAATTATTAAATCATAATACATGAATACATAATATATTAATATTGTCGACCGGGATAGCAGAGATCGCTAAGGCAGTAGTGTCATGGCAATCTCAGATCAAAGGATCGCGGGTTTGGATCCCGCCTCTGGCAAGGATGTATTTGAGAACATTCCTTCACCCTTCATATATTAATTGGTTAAAATGTAGCTTGTTGATCGCTTGAAAACAAGGGAGGATAGGGGTAAAACAGCATTAAACGTGTCGTTATGGCATTCTAGCATTCTTCCATTCATTCTCTACTACTAATATAAGACATCATTAAATCTTTGCAATTAAAGTGTCTCACACTTAATGGCCAAAAACTAGTACAATAATTTCTGAATCATCATTCAGAAGTGCATGATTAGAATTTTGTAATTACACAACACTCTCCCATTCATGTCTTCAAGAGATGTATCATTTTTGAATACCTAGTAATAAAAAACTACACAATGCTATAGAAAACTATTCAATTATTGCACAATTCTGATTCAAAGGAAGAGAGAGCTACATATACATACACATGCAATACTACATATAAATACTACATTGCTTATTTTCAGCATAAACATCATTCAACAATAAAAAATAAAAGGTCTTGATACAATATACATGGTGATGAATGAAAGTTGGTTTTTTATTAGACAAGGAAGAGTACATAGATAATATGTAAGATAACATATCGTTACATATCTCTTTACTAGTTTCATGCACTTCCAAGTATCTCACTTTTTTTGTACCTATGCAATGTAATAAAATATGAAGTGTGATAATTAAAAGATTATGTATGGTCGTAGATATAGAAATATAGCATATGCTTGCTCTTTTAAGTACTTATCAGAGCTCTAAATGTAACAATTATGTAAATAGCAAATCCAGGTTCTATTCAGCATACAACTAGACATTTCAAAACCTCCAGATGACAGGTATGCAGCAGAGGAAATGTGTGTAAGATAATGTTGTATGTGAGATAATGAAAGTGTCAAAGGAAACTTGTTTATATAGAAAATGTACATATAAACATTAATCTATGTGCAACATAATTAACTATCATTTATTAGTAACCATCATCATCATCAAGAACTATCATTTATTAGTAACATATTTTAAACACAGATGCTAACATATAATTCAAACACCTGTAATAAAAAACAACATTGATACAAAATGTTTCAACCTTCACAGATACAATTTCACAATTCAAAAACATTCAAAGCATATTTCCACAAGTATATATTATTTCATAAAAATCCGAATCAAAACTGATAAACTATAAGAAATAACTTATGCATACTTTCATTCTTAGTTTCAAGTTATTTTTTCATATGACATACAGGTATATTGCAGCCTATTAGACAAATGTGTAATGATAAGCCAATATTACGTAAAAGTGTTTTAATGGTAAGTCAATATAACATTTAGATCTTCAAGTCAATACCGGGGAATACAATTAACAGCAAAATACTCACCATCTGCATTTTCCTCAGGCCAGTCCAATCTTGCAAAATTTCCATTACCTTTTCCATGATTTTTGAGTCTTGATTTTCGCATGTTCTTCTTATTTCCATTGTTCATTGCTGCATCAAACAAATAGACCATTAGTAAAATCACAAAAATGGTGTAACATGTAAATAACTTCACTTAACTCACCTATTAACAATTTGTAGGGTGATGAAACCTTCAGGACTGATATCAAAATGTCTGTACCATAAACAAATAAAGCACCAAGAAGGAATCCGATTGCAACAGGAACAAATGCATACTCTCCACGTATGCCATACATCCGAGACTGTTCTGCCATTTCAAGAGCTGGATCTAATAATGACCAGTATGATGCTGCCAGCATCACTCCCGCAGCAAAACCTAGACTACAATCAAGTAGTCTTCGCTATAAATAAATAAATAAAAATTGAGTAACATTATAGTTGGAGAAAAAAAAACAATCAGTCTTGAAAATAAGAATTAAATTTGCCCGCTTTTATCAACAAAAATTTCATTCAGAATTTTCTATCCAAAACTGTGTAATTTGAAAGAAAAGTATAAGATTTCTCAATAATAGAAAAACTTTGTTTTCAATAAAATGATTTCTTAATATGATTTGATAAAAAGTTGGGTTAATAGCTTGATGGGCTTTTGTTTTCAGAAAATAAATAAAGTTTGGTACTATCCAAACACCACTTATAAGTGCAAATTGTTTGCTGACATAATAGTTAATTAAATGATAATGTCCAACAGCAGGTTTTGAATTTTTATTAAATTCATTTAATTGTTAATTAATAATTTACATCATTCCAAATATTGTTTCCGTCTAATCGTGGCCTTTCTAATTCAATGAAATGTAGAAAAAGAAACTAACCTGGGTTCCTTTAAAAATTACGACAACAGCAGCCCCGCATGCAGTCAGTCCCCAAGTAAATAACGTGCCTAAACACGCTTGCCATACAGGTCCTATATTACGAATCATTTTGCAAAATTAAAAACTTATTAAGAAAGGTATCTCAGATGCCACAGGACTCCTGTTTGAAGTGCGATTGTTGATCCCCCACTACCGCAACAAAGACTTTACACGTGGCCCACGGAATACGTATGAGGAAATCACCACTTCCAGATATCTTTCGGCACTAGTCTACAGTCTTTCTGGGCGGAAGGAATTACGGCAACTTTTCAGTTATCATATAATGGGAAAACTACGAAGTAACTGAAAAATTGTAGACAATCACTGCAAGGCCCTCTCAATGTAACAGAGTAATGTAATGTAAATGTATAGATAACCAACTCTACAGATACATAGGGCCTTGATCACTATTTCAAGAATAACTGCACGGGGAAAAGAGTATATCCACTCGATTCTTTAATTTCACAGTCCTATTGAATGGAAATCTGAGATAAACATCATAAGTACCAGAGAGCGATAATATACTAGTTATACAAAACGCTCTAGTACGTGTTATCAGCATGATACTTCAGAATTAATTTATAAATGTATTAAACATTCTTATTTAAAAAATGGCGCACCCAATGTACGGATGACATCTTACAGTCAGTTACATTAATTTTTTCGTGAAATGACACCTTTTCTCTTCTTAAATTAATTTCAGGTGCATATTGACATTCAATCCACACAATTTTTAGGTATGAATCTTTACACCTTTATTGCAAATGATGGTTTCACCTAGAGCACTAAAAGTTTAAAGAATTCGTTAAAAACATGACGTGCGTAATTCGGGCAATTCTGCGAGTTCCTCGTTATTGAAAACAATTTTCGTCTCTGCTATGCGAAGGTAAAACATTCCTAATCATGACCAGAAATATCACAGTTTACGTTCAATAACTGTTTAGACAGCAGAAGTAGCATATCTAAGAAAGATGGACTGCAAACGTGGAAACTTAAAGTTCCAGCAGTGACAATTGGTGATCGTTCGTCATGCCGAGGGCAGTATCACGGCCATTCTTTACTTTTGTAGAGGATAGCCATATCCGTATACAAAAAAAGGGGTGACCAGTCAAGGTCAGTAACAGGAAAGAACGCGTGTTGTTATTATTATTATTATTATTATTATTATTATTATTATTATTATTATTATTATTATTATTATTCCTCTACATCTTGATTAAAGGTGTTATGGGTCCGCTGAATATAAAATCTACCCCAGGTTGCAACTTGCCCACTTGAGGAACATATCTAGGGGCTGTCGGTGTCTCTACAATACTTTGCGCAGAATGGTGTTGTTCCAGATAAAGCGACTTCTTGCACTTCCGTCCTTTGGAAGACATAGTAGTTTAGCCACGTTCTTATACAAATTATGCGGAACAAATCCAAGAGCTCCGATGACTGTCAGTACGATCTGTGATTTTACGCCCCGCATTCGACTGATCTCGATTTCCAAACACTTGTATTTAAGACATTTCTCTGCCTCTTTGGTTACGACGTTTTGACCGCAAGGCACAGCAACATCTACAAGTAGAGAGTTTTTTTTTTTTCGAATCCCGGATAACGATATCCGGTTTGCTGCTTCCATGCGATCCGTTTGAATCTGTTGGTCGTACAATTGAATAGAGTCCAACAGATGCCACCGGTTTTGGCAAGTGTTCGTACCAATTGGGACATGTGTTTGGAACATCTGGAGGGCGGTACAGATCTGCCAATGGAGGTAACCACACACCCTGTCGTGTCTTTTCAAGTATTCGGTCTTTGCTAAATTTCACAAGTTGAGACAATATGATCAATGGTTTAAACTTGTTCCAGAGCGGCAGTTATCATCTTGGGAAGTTATGAAAACTTCTTTATTATAATGTCGAGTTTTCAACGCCTGATCCTGAGCAGCTATTAGAACTGTTTCCAATTCAGGCTTCATTCTTCCCCTTTTAAGCCACATAAATGATTGATCTTTATTGATGTGCACATTGTCCATTCTTTTTAGGTATTGTTCATGGAGTGATTTGTCTCTCCACGATTTTTTAAATTTTTTGTGACTCACATTTCATGTTTAGTAGCATCAGAAGTTCGGTGACTGTGTTATTCTGCGTGTCTTGCATAGTTTTCTTTGTAATGCTTCTTATTACACTAACAATACCTCTGTTTCCCATTCTTCGGTTAGATTTCATGATCAGCCTCATTAGAGGGCCATCTTGATGACTGACTACAAACGTTTCCATATCGACTATTGCATTGTACGAGAAGGCTTCAATTTGTCAGAGACCTCTTCCTCCTTCCTTACGTAATCTTACGTGACATATAAAGCCTAAGTACATCAGCTCGAGGGTGGGTGACATGACGCATTATTAGCAGTTTTCTGTTTTTTCGATGCTTATTTGGATTTTTTGCTAAGTTCAGTCCACGAGTCTGAAACTGTACTCGACTACAGGGACCGCGAAACTACCAATTGCCGATATTTTATTCCTGGAGTTCAGGACGAACTGTAGGACGTCTCACTCTTCTGTAATATTCCCGACGAATTCTCTCTTTCATTGTGTCGTTCGAAATGGTCTCACATTCTTCAATGCCCATATATTTGTAAGTTTTACTTGGCTCAAGATCTTGAATCACAGTGTGTATATCAACTTCAATGCTCTCTGACGTTGTCACTTTGTCTTTCTTTCAATTGATTTTTGCACACTTGTCAAGACTAAACTTCATGCAGATGTCATCGCTAAAGTCATTTACGACTGACAGCATTTGGAAGAGAATAGCTTCATTCTCAACAAACACTTTAAGATCATCCATGTAAAACAAATACAATACTGGTCTTTCATCTCCTTGGAGCTTGTAACCAAAGTCAGCTTGCGACAACTGTGTACCAGACCTCATATCTGCGTTCCGCTCTCTCCATTCCTTGAAAACTTCTATTTACGAGCCCCCATTTTTCGCTTTTGCATAGTAAAAGCACAATATCACCTCCTTCAATTCATCCCGTGTCCATCTCAAACGATGGCTTCGAGCTACTGTCGACTCTGGGTACCTGGGACTTACATCCGTGGGATAGCCAGACGTCGACAAGTCGTCGATATTATCTTGATTTCTGATCGGGTATGGGACATTCGTAGAACAAGGGACATTGAGATCCATTACATTTCCTGTTCTATCCATTTTGCTCATTGGTTTTAAGTGAAGATTCGCAGGACGCAAGTTCGAACACACTTTGGGTTATTTCCTGTCATCCGTTACTGCGACCCACAGTGGCCTCGGGGCCCGGTAGGCTCCCAACAGGGCCCAGCAAGATCCTTCCAGGGCCCTCCAATCGCAAGTCGGCATTACCAAACCCTACGGGAATATCACTGACTGCTGAGAGAAGCCTCCTTCGCTGGCTTATGTAAGGTTCGAGCCTCCACTTTAAACAGTGGCCTGGTGTGCCAACACAGTTTCTCTTCTGTACCCTCCAC